TGTGACTTGAGACTTGACGACATTGGATCCTGACTCGACATTGGGATTCAGACATTTTGACGAGGGACTATTTGGGCCTGTGCCGAAGACTTGGTGTTGACGACATTCACATATTCCCCTCTTCTTCGTCTAACCCCCCTCTTCTTCGTCCGTGTATGGTTGGGGCTGGCGCATTCTTCCTGTGTGAGCGCCAGACCCCTTCACACCTGGTCCATGGAGTGATGATGATGATGTATGTTCGGGGCTGCATTGCAATATTGATTGTTCGGATCATTGGTATCTAAGTCTTCCACTACGCTATCTTGTACTTTGTGAGAGAGGTCGGTTCTTGTTCTGGTCTGCACCGTTACAGTATGCAACAGTACCACACTTACAAGCATCAAGAAATCAAATGTAACATTTTCAGTTCGCCGAACCTGCAGAAGTTGTACGTGCATGATGACGATGATCCAGGGGGGAGGTAAGGTCCCACTCGCACACGCACAGACTGGGAACAGGATCTGCATTGACGGGAAAAACCTGCGAGGTCCGGGCCCCTCAGCAGTGCTAAGTGAAGGCGGGCCAGGCAAATTGAAGCCAGCCGTACGTGAAGTCCAGCCTGAATGAGGGCGGCAGGTGGTTGGCAGCGGCCGACCTCCGTAATCAACCGGTAGGCCTAGCCCACGAGTTGGTTGTAGAGGCGGGGACTGCACGTTGACCCAGTAGGTCCCACGCGTTGCCTACTGGGACTGGGATGAGCCTGGGTGCAGCCTCCGCAGCCAGCACGAAAGAGAGGAGGCCGGCCAGACTTGGAAAACTGGGCGGATGGTGCTGGCGTGAGCGCTGTGATGCTGAAAGGACGACGCAGCACCCGTGGAGAGGCTGTTTCGGTGGCAGTGAGAGGACAAGGGCACCAGCCATAGCCATCTGGGCGCCCTTGGCGCTGGCATGAGCGCTGTAGTGCTGGTAGGACAAAGCAGCACCCGTGGAGAGGCTGCTGCGGTGACAACAAGAGGACAAGGGCACCAGCCATAGTCATCTGGGCGCCGTTGGTGCTGGCGTGAACGCTGTAGTGCTGGAAGGACAAAGCAGCGCCAGTGGAGAGGCTGTTGCGGTGGCAGTGAGAGGACCAAGGGCGCCAGCCATAGCCATCTGGGCGCCCTTGGTGCTGGCATGAACGCTGTAGTGCTGGAAGGACAAAGCAGCGCCCGAGGAGAGGCTGTTGCGGTGGCACCGAGAGGACAAGGGTGCCAGCCATAGCCTTCTGGGCGCTGGTCTGCTAGGTGGTGGAAGTGTGGAGGTTGGCATGAGAGGAAGGCAGCGGGGACAGAGGGCACGTACCTGTCGTTGACAAAGGCCGCCTGTGTGACCAGAGTCTTCAAGCAGCATCGGGCGATTGGCACGTCAACAGAGTGCGGCATGTAGATAGGCTATGCTGATAGGAGCATCGGAAAGTAGGCAGGGTGGAGGGCCCGCCAGTAGGAGTACAACATTCAATTTTAATTTGCCGTTGTTTTGATGATTGGAGGCGGTGGAAGGGCTTTGTTTATCAAGGGAATTCGTGGTGTATTGCTCCGGGACCCTCCTATTTGACATGCATTGCGCTTTGATTTTCTACTTTCAATTCTCTGCTTTCAACTGGGCTCGGGTTTTTTTTTTTTTTTTTTTTTTTTTTTTTTTTTTTTTTTTTTTTTTCCCAACTTGACGGCTAGATTATGTCTGGTCTTCTGTTTGATGTCGCAATCTGGTTTTAAATTAATGGTGTTCCCATTGCATGGCTCCTTGTGAACCTTTCCTTTAGTTTTTTTAAAATATTTTTAACTTCTTTTCTTTGTTTCTGAGAAGTGTTGTCACGCGGGAATCCCCGGAGCCCAAGCCGGGGTGGGGGTTTCGCCCCCGCACCTCCCCCGCAGGGATCCCCAAACCCCGGCCCCTCCAAATCACCCCCGCACCACCGCCTCCGCACCCCCGCGCCCACTCCCACCCTTGTCTCTTATACACATCTAGATGTGTATAAGAGAC